AGCGACTCCAGCACCTCCAGTAGAAACAGTACCAGCACCACTCCTAGCTCCAGGGACGGCAGCAGAAGTACCTCCAGCAGTAGAGCCCCGGGCTCCAGCAGCGCGACCCTGACGGCGACCGTACCAGTCGTGCAGCTGCTGCGAGGTGAGAGGCACACGTGGACGAAGGCGGCTACTCCAAGGAGACCGCGCAACAGCAGACTCTGAACCCTCAGCGCCAGCACCCTCAGCAGCTCCAGCGCCACCAGCACCAGGACCTCCAGCAGCTCCAGAACCTCCAGCGCTCGCACCCTCAGCAGCCCCAGAACCACCAGCTCCAGCACCTCCAGACCCCTCACACGCAGGCTCAGCACCTCCAGGCTCTACACCCTCAAGCTCCGCACCCCCAGGCTCCGCACCCCCAGGCTCAGCACCCCCAGACTCAGCACCCCCAGAAGTAGCACCCCGAGCAGGACCACCCCCAGCAGGACCTGAGTCACCAGTGACCTCAATCGGCGCAGGGAAGGAAGGAGGGTCTACCTGAGACACACCTGAGGGAGCAGGACCTGGAGCGGGGAGAGGGTCGACCTGGGGAGCACCTGGAGCGAGGAAGAGCGGCGGGGGAGGGAGAGGGGCAGTGCGGTAGGGGAAGAGACGGTAAAAGGGAACCGACTCGTCGAACGTGACGTCCTGAGACGCAAAGACACGACGCGAGGTGGGGTGGTAAAACTGCCAACCAGGCGCGTCAGGGACAAAGCCAAGGAAGACACAGGGAATAGCGCGGGCGGAGAGCTTGTCCGCAGTGGTATCGCGGACAAAGGCACGAGCACCCCAGACCCGGAAACGCGACGCATCGCCAACCTTCCCCGTCCACAGCAGTGTGGGCGAGGTCTCCGGCAAGGAGACACGGGGCCAGAGGTTGAGCTGATGCGCGGCGTACCGGACCGCAAACGGCCACAGAAAATGGGGGGCAGTCGCATGGATCATGGAGGTACGAGCGACCTCCATGACTAAGCCAATGCGGTGCTCAGCAACCCCATTCTGCTGCGGAGAGGCCGGAAGCGTGAACGTCTGGCGGACGCCGTGCTCCGCACAGTAGGCTGCCAAGAGGTCGGAGGTGAACTCACCACCTCTGTCAGAGTGCAGACGCAGGACAGGAAAGTCCCTCTCGAACCGCTCGCGGAGCTGGAGACGAGCGGCGCGGATCCAAGGGATCAAAACATCAGGGACCTGACCCTTGCTGCGCAAGGGGAAGACCGTGGTGTAACGCGTGAAGTCGTCGACGACCAGCAGGAAGTACCGCTCGTGGCCCTGTCCACGGACGCGGGCTGGGCCCCACACGTCCAGGTGGAGAGTCTGCAGGGGAGCCTCTGTGGGAGGGAACGAGGAGGAGTGAGGAGCGGCGCGCTGCCGCCCCTCGACGCAGGGAATGCAAGGAGGCGCAGGCGAGGGAGGGAGGGCAGGCAGAGTCCTGGGGAGACCAGAAACCAGAGAGCGAGAGTGCATGCCACGAAGGCGCTGCACCGAGGGGTGACCAAGGCGGTGGTGCCACAGGAGGGTCTGGTGCGACAAAGCACGACACTCGCAGGGGGCCGACAGCTGACCTGACGCAGACGCAGACGCAGCTACCTGAGGGGCCGCAGTGGTGAGTGTGTACAGACTCGAGCCAGGCGCACGGGTAAACGTGGCCAGGTGTCGGCCCGTCCTAGCACACGTACAGTGAGTCACCCGCTGACCCGCAGGAGTGAACTGGTCAACCCCCCCATCTTGGAGGTCAGCTCCACTCACCAAGTTCGTAGAGAACGAGGGGAGGTAGAGACCTGACAGCACGCCAGATGGGACGGCCGGACACGGCAACACCGTAGAGTAGTGGGCAACGACAGGACCCCCAGAGGGGTCCGCCAGGGAGACTGCAACCGGCCGACTAAGCGGCGTGAGTGTGGTGCAGTCGCGAAAGAAGGAGCGGGAAGCTCCTGAGTCGAGGGTGAAGGTGTGCAAGGCCGCAGCAGGCGCAGTACCAGAGAGAGCAGACTCACAGGCACCTGGGGCGGCAGCCTCACCAGCACCTAGAGCAGAAGACGCAGTAGCACCGAGAGCAGCAGCCTCACCAGCACCTAGAGCAGGAGACGCAGTAGCACCTAGAGCAGCAGCCTCACCAGCACCGAGAGCAGCAGGCTCTATACCTGGGTCAGGCGGTACGCACAGGTAACAGGCTCGGTCAGCACTAGTAGGCAATGCATACATGGCAGTGAGAATAACATCATAGTCAAGAGCAAAGATATCTACCCTCTGGCTAAGCAGCTCCAGCCAGGTGGGGAGCTCAGCCTCGTCGCCAAACTCGGTACGCCAGGCGTCGCTCAGGCGGGCGAAGCAGCGGGACTGTGTGTGACCAGGCGTCCCGCAGGTCTGACCAGCTCGATCACCTGTGCGAATGACGTACCGGCAGCGCACTGGACTGAAAGACCCTCTACTCTGAGCGTACCACTCCTCGAGCTGCCGAGACGTAAGTGTCTCGCGTGGACGCCGCTGCAGCTGCAGCTGGCCACTGCTAGAGGCCCCCAACTGACCAGCTCCAGGGCGACAGCTACGACGGCTACCGCGACAGCCCCAACTAGTATACCACTCACTAAGCTGCTGGGGCGTGAGAGACTCGCGTGAGCGTCGCTGGAGCTGCATCTGGTCCCTTGCTAATAGCTAGTAGCAGCAGCAGCTCGGGCAGGGCAGGCGCGGCAGGCCGGCAGACAGGCAGGCAGGCAGGTAGGCAGGCAGGCTGACAGGCAGACAGGCCGGCAGGCAGGCTGACAGGCAGGCAGGCAGGCAGGCAGGCCAGCAGGCAGGCAGGCAAGCCGACAGGCAGACAGGCCGGCAGGCAGGCAGGCAGGCTGGCAGGCAGGCAGGCAGGCAGGCAAGCAGGCAGGCAGGCCGACAGGCAGACAGGCCGGCAGGCAGGCAGGCAGGCAGGCTGACAGGCAGGCAGGCCGAAAGGCAGGCAGGCAGGCAGGTGCTCACCAAAGGCTGGAAGGGCAGGTGCTCGCCGGGCGAGCAGGGCCGAGTAGGCGCACGACCGCAGCTGCGATGGGGCCGGAACAGCGACAGTAGAGTAGGGCCGCAGCAACTGCAGGGTGGGGGGCCGCTTCAGCGGCAGTCGCAGAGTGGGGGCCGCATCAGCGGCAGGTCGGGGCCTCGGCAGCAGCAGCGAGGGGCCGCAGCAGCGGAAGGTCGGGGCCGATGCAGCTGCAGGCTATGCAGGGCAGCGCGCGGGGCTGCTGTGGGCCGAGCGCGGGCTGCGGGAGGCAGAAACAGGCCGCGCGCAGCAGCAGCTGGCCGCGCGCGGCTCGGCAGGGACTGCGCGCAGCAGCAGTAGGCCGCGCGCAGCTCGGCAGGGGCGGCGCGCGGCTCGGGGGGGGTCGCGCGCGGCAGCAGCGGGCCCGAGCCGCGCGCAGCAGAAAACGGGCTGCGCGCGGCTCGACGGGGCTGCGCGCAGCAGAAAACGGGCCGCGCGCGGCTCGACGCGGGCTGCGCGCGGCTCGACGGGGCTGCGCGCGGCTCGACGGGGCTGCGCGCGGCTCGGCGCGGGCTGCGCGCGGCTCGACGGGGCTGCACGCGGTTCGACGGGGCTGCACGCGGCTCGCTGGGGGCTGTGCGCTGCGCTGACGGCGTGTGAGGGGCAGCAGAGCGGCGCGAGCAGCGAGGGCGACGCTTGAGGCAGCAGCGGGCAGCGTGCGTGACTTAGGTCTGCGCGGTAGCAGCAGCAGACAACACAGTAGGCAGCAGGCAGTAGGCTACAGGCAGACGGCGCGCGCAGCGCAGCACGTCACAGGCACAGGCACAGGCGTGGGGTAGCGGTAGGTGGGCCCGAAAAAAAACGGTCCTACGGACCTACTGCTCTGAAACCATGTTAGAATCTAGAGACAAGAATGAATGCATTGATCAAGAGTTGGGTACATAAGCTAACCCTAACATTGGGTTGTACCCCATATGGGCTACCCCACTAGCAGCCTACACAAACACAATATGCATAGTTTGACACTTTTAGCCAGAAGACACGAACCGGAGACCTTACCCTTCCTTCTCGGCAGCACTAACAACTGAGACAAAAGGCTATGAACTTTTGGTTTTCTTGTTAGTTTGACGTTGAAATGTTGAAGAAATGGCCCACAACCAGCCATCTCGGGTGTTGTGCAGCAAGGATTCGGAATGTGCATTCAGTGTACACTTCGATAAAAGGCTGGAAAATCAGTCCCCTTAGAGAAAAAAAGGCTGAAAAATCAGTCTCTCTAAAATTGAACACTGAAAAATCAGTGTAGGTACAAAAATTTACCCTGAAAATCAGGAATTTCAGGGTTTTTTTCCTGATATCTGAGGGCCTGATATCAACATTTGTTACGTTAGGTTGAGTAGATTGAGTTACTCCGTAGTGAGTGAAACATTGTTGATATGAACTCTATAAGCCCTTGTGCTAGTCATTGTGCTGGTCATACTTATGACAGCTCTAACTGGTGTACTTTGCAGTACACCACCCACCGTGATTGAACATCCATGGATGTTCAATTTTGAGGGTTGTACTAAGCGGGGAATTACGGGTATCACCAAAGCAAAGCATCCAACACAGCCGTTGCTATCCCCTTAGCTCCACCTGGCCCACCCATTCGTATCCTTCCATTTGCTGCAATCTCCTGGAGAGTCCTTGCATCGGCCATTGTTGCTGCAGCAGTTGTCCCCAGTTCTTTAGGGGAATTTGATAGAATAACCTGCGTTGGTGGGCCATAGATTGATGGCAAAACGAGGGAGGTTGATCACTAGCATGCCAAAGAGGTGCACTAGAAAAAAAAAAAAAAGGTACAGGTGGTGTGTGCGAACCACATAAGGGAAGGGAATGAACAATGATGGGAGTGGATGAATGATAAGAGGGTACCGTAGGTCAAAATTGGAGCACAGGAAAATCACGAAAGCAGAGTGAATGGAATGATGGATGCACGCGGACAAAGACAGGCCGAGTGAAAAAAAGTGAGAGTGCTCACAGATTTTCCCAGCAGGCGGGTCTGTGCCTCGGCAAAGAGTGCCGTGAACTGAGGGCCCTTGCCCGGCATGATGAACACTGGCTTGACCAGCCCCACCTGTGCAATGGACCAAGGGGGGAGGAGGAAGGGAGGCACCAAGGATTTGCAGACAAACACGGCTGCTACACTGCACCCTCTGTCCAACCACCTGCCACCCACCTGCCACCCGCCTGCCGCCAACCTGCGGGCCACCTGCACATCCCATAGCACCTGCATGCACATCCCATAGCACCTGCACATCCCATAGCACCTGCATGCACATCCCATAGCACCTGCACATCCCATAGCACCTGCACATCCCATAGCACCTGCATGCACATCCCATAGCACCTGCACATCCCATAGCACCTGCATGCACATCCCATAGCACCTGCACATCCCATAGCACCACACACAATCCTCCAGACTCTCCACAACATTCCAAGTGGGTTGCGGGTTGCACACACACTCCCCAACGAACACCCTCCCCCCGACTGTAAGTCAGTGCCTCACCATTGGCCCTGTGCCTCACATTGCCGTGGCACCTGCTAAGCCCACACCTCCACCGCCCTCCACCGCTTTGCACTTACCTCTGCCATGGCTCCATGCCTGCAAATCATCCTGGTTCTACATCTCCCTCCACCACTCTCCACTGCACTCTACCCAAACATCCTCTTCCCCAATCTCACCTTCTGCTCTGTGGCCGTGCCTGGGCAACCACACATACTGCGAATCATCATGGCTTCAAGCCTCACTCCATCTATCCACACCACTCTCCACCGCACTTACCATTCCCTTCACCAATCTCACCATCTGCTCGGTGGCCGTGCCAGCCATGGCCAGGGCGCCATGGGCCTCATAAGCGCACTCAGCGAATCCCCCCCTCACCAGCACCACCACCGCCCGCACTCCCCCCGTGCTCCCCACACCACTGCTCGCTGCCCCACCGCTGCTCCTCCCTGCAGCAGCACTGCATCGCTCTCCACAGCCCCCCTCCTTCCCTTCCTCTTGCAGCCCCTCAAGAGCAGCAGGCGCCCCAAGCTGCTCTGCACACCCTCTGCCATTCCCCTCCTCCTCCTCCCCCTCCTCCTCTCGCCCGGGGAGGAGGAGCACGAGCCCGTGCAGCGACCCCTCCCCGTCCAGCTCCATCCACCCCGCCTCCGCCTCCGCCTCTCCTCCCGCCCCTTGTGACGTGGGTCGGGTGGGGCTGAGGGGCACCCAGCCTTGTGCGAGCAGGGGGGAGGCGAAGGGGGAGGGGGGGAGGGAGGGCACGATGGGGCAGACGAATAGGACTGGTAGGGGACTCCTGCTGCTGCCGTTGCTGCTGCTGTTGCTGCCAATATCAGTGCTGGTAGTGTTAGTGGTGGCGCTGCTAGTGCCAGCGCTGGTGGTCCCGGAGCAGGAGAGCAGGGAGGAGACGAGGTGGGGGATGGAGGAGGTGAGAAGCTCCCAGTTGGAATACACCTGCACGCATGTGAGAAGCGAGGGGTGCGGCTGCTGTCAACCAGTACCCAACGGACAACGAATGGAATGTGAAGCATACGGAAAGTTCATGTGACAAGGCGCACATGTGGTCATGGCAGATGTGGCAGAGGGACATTGATGAAGGTACAAGTGCGTGCATGGTTGCGTTGCGAGAAAAGGGCAATGGTACACAGGTGCCCCGCCACGTGGCAGATAGACAGAGCAGGCGAGGTGAGGGAAGCGGGATGGGCAGGTATGGTGGGGGCAATAGGAGGGTCAGGTGACGCGGGGGGGGGGGGGGGCGGGGCAGGGAGAGCGAGGCTCACTTCAGGCGGTCTGGAGCCGGGCAGGATGGCAAACACGTGGCGGAACGGGCTGCTGCTGCTGCTCTGGCACGCTGCATCGCTCGGGGACGCCCCGTGTGGTGACGTGGTATGAGCGTCCCCCTTGCTGTGCGCAGCATGGGTGGTGTGGTGGTGCAGCCACGCGCGGAGGTGGGTGTGGATGAAGGCGTGCAGGTGGGGCGATGGCGCCATGTGATCCATCATGGGGTTGCCTAGATACGCCACCTGCCATGCCATGCATGTCATGCATGCACATGCCATGGGATGGGGTACACATGGTGTGTTGTGAGGCATGGGATACATGAACAATCACAGGGTTACTCAGAAATGTCATATGCATGACGTGCACATATTCATATGCCATGGGCCGTATACATGGTGGGTGTGCATAGTGGGTACGCATGGCGAGTGCGCATGGTGGGTGGTGGGTGCGCATGGTGAGTGGTGGGTGCGCATGGTGAGTACACATGGAGGGTGCAATGCAAGGCAAGGCATGGGAGGATTGGTTCTTCACGGGGGTACTCAGGTTGCCGGTCGCCACGCCATGGATGCAAGCGCCATGGGGTGCAGTGCAGGTGGTATGGGTGGAGCGAGGCATGCGACACATGAAACCATCACATGAAACCATCACATGAAACCATCACATGAAACCATCACATGAAACCATCACATGGACATGCCACGCTGCAACGGCCCTGCTCTTGGCCTCACATCATGGACTCACCCTGCCTGACGCACGATCACCCGTGTTGACTCCTCCCACTCTGACTCTCGTTTCCATTTAGCTCTGGCGAACTGAGTAACTTGGTGTGGCTCGTTTGACTCTAGCTGGCTGGAAGGGAACTTTGACTCGCCATGACTTGCCTTGACTCGTCTGGAGTTGCCTTACATTTTGTTGGGCAATTCTGGCGTCCTCTGGACTCACCTTGCCCTGTCTGAACAGCCCTGCCTCGCTGCCATCCTGCACCGCGCCAGGGGAGGACGAGGGGGAAGCAGAGGGGGAAGCTTCCTCCAAGGGCATGTTGTGGGCGAGCACCTGAGCAGTGAGGCGGTCCCTCACTGCCACCAGCCTGGCAGGGGCGAGGCGCACGGTAACGGATGGGGTTGGAGGGTGCTGAAGGAACACGGACGGACAGCAGTAGGATACATGCTGGTTTGGCACTTGAACAGTAAGGCGGAGTGGGTGGGAGAGGCGGAGAGGGAGAGGGGTGGATGGAGGGGTGAGGATGAGGAGATGAGGTCTCACCTGCAGCATGCATGCGCCATGAGCCATCGCTCCCATGGATGGTACACTCCCCCTCCGTGCCACCATCTCTCCGCTGCCAGTGGCATGGCATGGCATGGCATGGCATGGCAGCACGAGCGGCAGGAGAATGCACAGGGACAGTGGTGTGAGGGAAGGTGGTGGGTTGAGGGAGGAGGGAGGGGACGGGGTAGAGGAGAGTGGACGGGAGGGTGGAACTCTCAATCCAGTCCACATGCAGCATGCCCCTCACCTCGCCAGGTCCCCAACATGCCACATGGCCCTGCTGCCCTCTCTGCACTCTCACTGTACCTTGCCACGCCAACAAGTCACACTTGAGTGGTGAATCGGGGCTGCTTGCGTCACCGCACCACAGTGCCACACAACACAATGGCAGAGCATGTCTTGTCATGACACCAACCGCATTCCTCCTCGCAGGTGTCCACGGCCATACCAGGCAGCGCATGGAGGGATGCCTGCCCTTCTACTCACCCAAACACACGCCCCACTGCCACTCCGCCTTCCCACTCACCTAGCGGCCGAGCCTGAGACGGCAGCAGGTGTGTCCATGGCGCCCGCACACATGAACCCGCCTCTAGGCCGTCCCTCGTAAGCTTATCAGCGTGAGTGAGCGCCTGCTGCCATGCTCACCGAATGTTCTGGCCTGCGAGGGCAGCAGGCGGCCATCGTCCCCGCGGATGTAGAACTCGCTCTTGGCCGTGCCCATGAACGCCACGGGCAGTGCCGGTGCGCGTGACACTGCTGAGGCAGTGGTGGGCGCAGCAGTGGCAGGGAGCGTGGTGGAGTGGTGGGAGGCGAGGCAGGCGAGGGCGAGGGGGAACACGTCACCCACTGCAAGGATGGCGGCTGCCGTGCTGCTCTGCGCCTCCACCCACCGCTTCATCACCTGCCACTGCAAGGGTTGGATGCGGTGCGGTGGGAAGCAGTGAGGAGTGGTGACAAGTGGTAGGATGCTGCGAGTGAAGGGAGGGGAGGAAGGAGAAGGAGAAGGTGTGAGGAGCGGTGGGAAGTAAGAATGACAAGGGAGAGAGGAGAGGACACATGGTGGAACACAGCCCGCTATGGCGCCGCTTGCACGCACGTACCTGCTGCAGCGTGAGGTCCAGCAGACCTGCTGCCACGTCGTTTGCGAGCTGCTTTCCGTCCATGTAGATGAACCTGCATGGCACGGCACACACACGCCATGGCGCAAGCAGGCGCGCTTGGCATAGCAACACAGTAGGGACTGTAGATGAGCTACTTGAAGACGCTTCTGGTCAGGTTCGAAGCCACGAGTGGATAAAAGGCATTGGATAAGGCACAAGTGAAGAGGCAGAGGCAGCAGTACGTGGTTGAGTGGATGCAGTAGAGAGAGAAAGCGAAGCAACAAGGCACAGCATTCTTTTGCTCCTAGTTCCCATTCCCACGTTTCCCCCTCGCTTCTTTTCCACTATACTGCTCTTCAACTGTGGCAGCATTGCTTGTGCGGGGCTTGGTGGCATGCATGCGGATGGCATTGTGCATCACGCCACAGCATGGGTGAAAAGGCAGCAGCAGCAGCAGCAGCAGCAGCAGCAGCAGCAGCAGCAGCAGCAGCAGCAGCAGCAGCAGCAGCAGCAGCAGCAGCGGCGGCGGCGGCGGCGGCGGCGGCGGCGGCAGCGGCGGCAGCAGCAGCAGCAGCGGCTCACCCGCCACTGGGCATGGTCTTGGCGGGGCCGATGGTGGGGATGCCGTGGCGGTGGTATGGCGCCCCCATGCCCACCAGCGGCAGCCCTGACACACGCACCGTCATGCCCCGCTGTGCTGCAAGTGCCTGCAGGGGTGCACGCATGGATGGAAAGGGTTTGAATGGTGGCACGGGGGAGAGGATGGTGAAGCCATGGCAACGGGACAGCGCACTCTATACGATGCGTCCAAAGCCCATGATGCGCGTTCCTTCCTCCCCGCCTCTTGTTCCTAGGCACTCTGCCTTGTCAGCCCCCCTTACCCGCATCTCCCCCCTCACCTGCATCTCCCCCCTCACCTGCATCTCCCCCCTCACCTGCATCTCCCCCCTCACCTGCATCTCCCCCCTCACCTGCATCTCCCCCGCACCTGCATCTTCCCCGCACCTGCACCTTCCCCGCACCTGCATCTCCCCCGCACCTGCATCTCCCCCGCACCTGCATCTCTCTCAGAATGCTGACTGCGATCGTGTCCTCCCCGTGCCCGTTGCTCACGCACAACAGATGGTACTGCCGCCTTGCTAGAACCGCAGCCTCCGCCGCGCGCACCACGTCAGCTGCCACGTGGCCGGCGTTCATTGATCGAACAGCGCTGGAACTCGGTACATCGCGCGATGGCTCGGAATCCCCCGAAACACTGTCTGCAGACGCTGCGGTTACCACCAGCGCGCGACGGCCTCGATGCTCGCTCGTCACAGCAACGCGAGGGACAAATAACGCGAAAGCTGGCTTTTTCCCGTGGTCAATACACAGAGCACTCCGACATGTATTCTCGACAGCTAGTGCTGGAGAGGTTACTAGTCTGGGGATCGCGTGAATGGCGCGAGACGCTGATTGCGATCGCGGAATGGTTGGGGTTGCGCAGGGAGTGAAGTCCTAGTGACGGGCTGCCTGGTTGGCTGGGGGCGGAAGCAGAACCCGAAAATGGTGGGGCGGAGTGGCGTGCCATTGTAGGGGAGAAGGCGTAGTGCGAGAGAGCCATGGCGCTACGTGCGAAGCACTGCGAGAGATGTGCGCGGAAATGGAAGGAGGGATAGAAACAAAACTGCTGGAGGCAAATATAATACAAGGCAGGTAGGTCATGGGGGTCGACCTTTTGGATAACGACGTGTTGCGACCCACACGGGTCGGGTCGACCAACCCCCGATCCTGAATTTCTCGGAAGGATGCGTCGCAGGTCTACCCGACCAGGTCGACCCAACCCAACCCGGTCGGGTCGGGTCGACCCGTGTCGACCAGGTCGGGTCAACCCGACCGACCAAACCCGACCCAACCGAGCTCGAGCAGGTTACCCGAGCCTGCGAATTCTATGGTCCTCGCTCGGATGTCGCCTGTATCTCGCCTAACAAAAGTGACCCGGTTATATCGCGCATGTCTAGCCCAACCCACCTTCCAACCCGCGCACTAACTGCGCTCTTCTTACTTCGAATTTGCAAGGTAGGCGACGGGAAATTCCTTGGTTTCTCGAGTCGCCATTCGGTTGGGTTGGGTCGGGTCGGGTCTAGCCGACCTGGTCGACCCGACCCGACCCAACCCTGTCGGGTCGCAACATGTCGTAATACATACGAACAGTGACTGAATGACGTCATCTGCGCATGATTACCCAGGCGAGCGGGCGGGAGAAGTGGCGTCAGACGGCCATCCGGGCCACCAGCTCCGAAGTCCCTCCTGGTCCGAAGTTGTCCCTTGGGAGCTCCGAAGTTCCTTCGGGCCGACAACCCCCGGGATTTCATCCGGGTTACAAATCGTCCCATTGGACCACGTGTTGCGCGGAACTCGAGGGGAACTCTGGTTCCGTATTCGCGCAACACGTGTCACGATATGAAATGTCGTGAAAAACTGAAGTGTCGGAGGTTCAGTGGTCGACGACGAAATTCAGGGTCGTGATCTTGCAGACAGTTACGAGATACAGTCGCAGACTCTTGATCCTATGGCCATCTATTTCCACGGTAGGTGTGCGAAAGAAGATCTGACGCTTAACGACCGCTGACGAGGGCTAGTAAGTAGTTCGTCAAGACGTTGCGTACATGCATCCCCGCGAAACGCATTTCGTGTCTGCGAATTTCATGTTCTGGCACAGCATTCCGCGCACCCCACGAAACTTGGGATGGGAAACGCACGGGCGTGGGGAATGTCATCGCGCGAATGAAAATTCCTGATAACATTTATCGCTACAAAGAACGAGTTCACCCGCGTGAAATCGTCTACATGAATGACAAAATTCGCGAAACCGTCTAAGGAACACCTCCCCGACTTGCAAACCAGCTCTCGCGTGCGAAAAAAGAAAACTAGAACTACCGTGGTTTGATTCTTAACCATTTACAACCATGCAACATACTCATCGCACGAAATCACCTGTGTGCTGCTGTCACGAAAACAAAACCTCGAAAAAAGGCACTACGTTCGTGACCGCGATTAACCATGACCATGAAACATTCGGGCCACTGTACACCGACATCTGCGGCACATTCACTTGCCAGCACGGAATTGTGTGAACATGTACTGTAGAGTTCCAGCTCGTTTTGCGGAAGCCGATTGTTTTCGAACCCCTAGAAAGTTTCGCGCTGGGATATTCGCGTTGTTGCTGAGAGTACTCAAGATATAGATTTGTAAGCGAAATCTATATATCCGCGAAGACGCGGGCGATATTCACCACCAAAACGAATCGTGTCACGAATTCTGGGGCACAGACAAGTGCGTGAAGTTTTCGCGGTGGCGTTTCTGTCAAAGTTTTCACCACCGACATCCGCAGCTCATTTGCGGCAGCACAGTTCGTACATTTCATGTTGCGAAAACAAAAGTATCGCGCGCAAAAATACCCGCAGTTGCTGGGATAAAACAAACTACAACAATATAAATCGAGCAGCAAAAACCCGAAATCCGCGAAACCGCCTGGTGATATTCACAGGCGTAGCAAAAAACTTTCCGCGTGTGCGTTTTCCGTTTGTTTCCCGCAGTCAAGTACGCTACAACAAGGTTAACAACGGTTTGGAGACTCTACCGCTTTAAACCGTAATATTATGCGGTTTACCGTACTGAATTTATAAGAGCGAACATCCAATTTGAAAGTGTCCCGTAAATTTTCGCGTCACCTAATAAAACGTCTTTCGCGCGGACTTCCCCGCTGAAAATCCGCAAACATACAGGCGATTTGACAAGCGAAGTCAATCTATATCCACGTGTTCGCGAATTTGGGGGCAACATGAGTGCGCCAAAAATCTCATAAATCGGACAACGCCCTTTCAGAATAGCTAGGCAAGAATGATTGAACTAGGAGAAGTTTGGGTACAAATAACAAACCCTAGTTGGGGTTGTACCCCATATTGGCTACCCCACTACAGCCTACAAGCATAATACAGTTTAACACACCCCCATAGGCAAAGTGGGGGAGAACAAAGGGTCACAAGACCAGTCCAGCAAAGCAAAGCAAAGCCCAGGGTGGATCACAACGTCACCACACTCCGAGCACAAGTAAAGGCCACAAGGCCAGTTCACATGCAGTGCTAGATATAGTACAAGACAAGCAACACAGTGATCAAAACCTAGCAAGCAAGCAACAAGATATATATAAAGTACAGTACAAAGAATGTCAAGCAGTGAGCAAGTGAGGAAACGTGGACACAAGGCCTAAAGAAGTACAGTGCCGCTGATGATCACTAGGCGGAAGCGCCTTGGTGAAGATATCAGCAGTGTTGGCCTTCGAGTCCACGTACACAAGCCGAAGCTGACCGCGCTGCTGAAGCTCTCGAGCAAGAAAGTAGCGAAGAGCAATGTGCTTCGTCCTGTGCTCCAGTCTGTGCTCCTGACACAAGGCAAGGGCCGCCTTGTTGTCACCGTACAGAACTGGCGGAGAACTAGGCCGCTCTCCCAAGTCAGTCAGCAGGTAGGTGAGCCAGCGTAACTCCTGTGCAGCCATGGCTGTGGCGTAGATCTCAGCCTCACAACTAGAGCCGAGAACAGAGGAAGAGCGGGTGGACCGCCACGAGACAGAACCAGAGCCAAGGCTGAAGGTGTAACCCTGTGACGACCGCTGCGTAGCCAGGTCGTCCACCCAAGAGGCGTCCGAGTGACCAGTGAGGACAACTCTGTCGCGTCCTCCAAGCACCAGCCCCATGCCTGATGTACTGCACAAGTAACGCAGCACCCTCTTAGCAGCCTCCCAGTGCTCTCGCCTGTGTCTCCCAGGCGCAACGTAACGAGCAAGGATGCTAAGAGGGTACGCAAGGTCAGGTCGCGTGCACGTCATCAGGTACATGAGGCAGCCTACAAGCTCTGGGTACGGGCCACTCGGCTCTACGGACTCGTCCGAAGGTGGAGCTGAGAGTGAGTGGCTGGTAGCCAGAGGTGTGGCCTGTGGTGAGGAGAACTGGAAGCCGAAGCGCTGAAGGACCTGCTGCACCATGTGTGACTGAGTCAGGGTGATGGTGCGACGGGCTCTGTCCCGGGTGATCTGCAAGCCAAGGTAGCTACGCAGTTCACCCAGGTCAGTGCAGGTGTGTCTCTTCTGCAGCTCCGACTTCACACGAGCGAGTGCCTCAGTGTCAGCAGTAGCAAAGACCAAGTCGTCAACGTACACGAGGATGTAGAACGGCGGCAGCGACGTGTCAGTGCGCAGAAACAGCGACGGGTCAGCAGTAGACGGCGCGAACCCAAGAGCCGCAAGAGTAGTCCTCAGTGTGTCGTGCCACTCACGTGGCGCCTGGCGGAGACCGTAGACTGGCCGGCGGAGACTCCACTGGGTACCAGGGGGAAACGACCCAGTAAAGCCAGGTGGGCGGCGCAGCCAGATCTCCTCGTGCAGGCTGCCCTGCAGGAACGCTGTGCTGAAGTCAAGAGAGTGAAGCTCGTAGTCACGCTGAGCAGCAACGTGCAGCAAAACCCGAAGAGTGGTCATCTTCGGGGTGGGGGAGAAGGTCTGGAAGAAGTCGACCCCCTGACGCTGACTGAAGCCTCGAGCCACGTAACGCGCCTTGAAGACAGGCGGAGAACCCGGCGGCCGCTTCACCCTGAAAATCCACATGCCATCGACGATGTTCGCCCCAGGAGGGGGAACCTCGTCGACGTAGGTGCCTGTGGACTTCCAGGATGCCATCTCTGCGTCCATGGCTGTCTGCCACTGAGAGGAGTAGGGACCCGAGATCGCCTCTGCGTAAGTGCGCGGAGTGGGGATGTCTAGTGCATCCGGGTCTCCCTCAGGGGCAAGCAACCAGGCCACGAGATGAGGTACAGCAGCCGCAAGAGAGTCAAAGTCCTCCTGCCTGTCCTCAAGGACGTCCGTGCCAAGAGCACACTCACCCCCGACGGACGGAGGACAGACAGACGCAGACTCTGACTCAGCGACAAGGCTAGCAGCGTAGTCTAGACGACAGGCAGCAGCAAAGTCAACCAACTCAGCGACCAGAGCAGACGCAGCCGAGGACTCAAAGGTGGGGTCAGTGACAACAGTAGCAAGGAGACGCGTGACTGTAGGGTGCTCAGCGCGATACCGGTCAGACTCAGGGTCCGGAACGGCAGGCAAAGAGGACGCAGGAGGAGACGGTAGAGGGACACGCCGAGGAGCAGTAGAGGGACGCAGAGTCATGTAGTGAGTGCCTGGGACAGGAGGAGGACGCTCACGACGGACACGACTACCAGTGCGAGCAGGACGAACAGGCGACGCAGGACGAGACTCAGGCTCACGACGCTCTGTAAGACCTCCTGTGGGACCAGTATAAGGAGAGGGAGCAGGGAGAGGCGAGGCAGGTGGTAACTGTGACTGCGGCTGGACAGGCGGAGGACACTCTACGGAGGGAGGAGGACAAGGAGGAGGAGCCTGCCCAAGAACCTGCTGAAGGAGCGGTACGAAGTACGGTCGCGGCCGCGCAGCGTCTCCAGAAGCAGAAGGGACTCCAGCGGCCGGGTCCACAGCACCAGCAGCAGCTCCACCGGCCGGGTCCCCAGCTCCAGCAGCAGCTCCACCGTCCGACTCCTCAGCACCAGCAGCAGCTCCACCAGGTGGGTCCGCAGCACCAGCAGCAGCGCCACCCCCAGAGTCGGCAGCTCCAACTCCGCTAGCACCGCCAGCGCCAGAGTCCCCAGCTCCAGCAGCTCCAGTACCCCCAGTACGAGCACCCCCAGGACGAGCAGCTCCAGCACCCCAAACTCCAGTCGAGCCACTAGGACGGCGAAAGCGTCGGACGTACCAGTCGCGAAGCTGCTGCGGTGTGAGAGACTGCTCAGCACCCCGAACCGGAGCACCCCCAGACGCAGTAACCCGAGGCTCCGTAGGCTCAGTAGCAGCACCCCCAGGCTCAGTACCCGCAGGCTCAGTACCCGCAGGCTCAGCACCCCCAGTCGCAGCACCCCCAGGCTCAGCACCCCCAGGCGGCAAACTCTCAGGCACAGTACCCTCAGCTCCAGCACCCGTAGTCCCAGCACCTGCAGCCCCAGCACCCCCAGGCCCAGCACCCCCAGGCTCAGTACCCCCAGGCTCAGCACTCCCAGCAGCACCACCCGCAGCAGCACCTGAGTCACCTGTGACCTCGACAGGCTCAGCGACGGGAGGAGGGTCTACCTGAGAGACACCTGAAGGAGCAGGACCCTGAGGGGGAAGGGGGTCTACCGGAGGGGGACCAGGAGCAAGGAAAAGCGGCGGGGGAGGGAGGGGGGCAGTGCGGTAGGGGAAGAGACGGTAAAAAGGGACCGACTCGTCAAAGGTGACATCCTGAGAGGCGAAGACCCGGCGCGAGGTGGGGTGGTAAAACTGCCAGCCAGGCGCGTCAGGGACAAAGCCAAGGAAGACACAGGGAAGCGTGCGGGAGGAGAGCTTGTCCGCGGACGTATCGCGGACAAGGGCACGAGCACCCCACACCCGGAAGCGCGACGCATCGCCAACCTCCCCCGTCCAACGCAGTGTGGGCGAGGTCTCCGGCAAGGAGACACGGGGCCAGAGGTTGAGCTGATGCGCGGCGTACCGGACAGCAAACGGCCACAGAAAATGGGGAGCTGCCGCGTGGACCAAGGAGGTACGAGCGATCTCCATGACCAGGCCAATGCGGCGCTCAGCAACCCCATTCTGCTGTGGGGAGTCCGGAAGCGTGAAGGTCTGCTCGATGCCCTCTGCCTGACAGAAGGTCCTCAGGAGATCGGAGGAAAACTCACCACCTCTGTCAGAGTGCAGACGCAGGACAGGAAGATCCGTCCAGAAACGACGGCGGAGCTGGAGACGAACCGTGCGGATCCAAGGGATCAGAACAGCAGGGACCTCACCCTTGGTGCGCAAGGGGAAGACCGTGGTGTAACGCGAGTAGTCGTCGACAACCAGCAGAAAGTACCGCTCACCGCCCTGACCACGAACGCGGGCTGGGCCCCACACGTCCAGGTGGAGGGTCTCCAGAGGAGCCTCTGTCGGGGGGAACGAGGAGGAGTGAGGAGCGGCGCGCTGCCGCCCCTCGACGCAAGGAAGGCAAGGCGGCGCAGGCGAGGCAGGGAGGGGAGGGAGGGACCTGGGAAGACCAGACACAAGGAGGCGACGGTGCATGCCACGAAGGCGTGGCAAGGAGGGGTGACCCAGGCGGTGGTGCCAGAGAAGAGTCTGGTGCGACAGGGAACGACACTCACAGGCGTGGGCCACCAGACCTGACGCAGACACCTGACCGACAGCAGCTACCTGGGGAGACGCAGTGGTCAGTGTGTAGAGACTCGACCCCGGCCGACGGGTGAACGTAGCCAGGTGACGGCCAGTCCTGGAGCACGTGCAGATCGCCACACGCTGTCCGCCAGGGGTAAAGGTGTCAACCCACTGATCCTGGAGGACAGCGTTGCTCACCAGGTTCGTCGAGAACGAGGGGAGGTGGAAACCCGACAACGAGCCAGACGGAACCGCCGGACAAGGGAGGACAGTAGTGGACTGGGCAAGGACTGGGCCCCCAGAGGGGTCAGCCAAGGAGACTGGGACCGGTGCAGGAAGCGGTGTGAGCTCAGTACTGTCACGAAAGAAGCAACGGGAAGCACCTGAGTCAAGGGTGAAGGTGTGACAGGCCTCAGCCGGTGCGGTACCTGAGGGAGCAGTCTGTGTGGGTGCTGTACCTGAGAGAGCAGACTCGAAACCAGCCGGGACAGCACTGGGGGGGGCAAGTACAGGGGGCACCATACCAGAGAGAGCAGACTCACTAGTACCCAGGGCAGCGGGCTCTATACCTGGGTCAGGCGGCACACACAAGTAACAGTCTCCCTCGGCACTAACAGTCAATGCATACATGGCAGCAATAATAGCATCATAGTCAAGAGCAAAGACATCAACACCAGCCCTCATGAGCTCAGCCCAGCGGGGGCGCTCAACATCCGCACCCATCTCCTCACGCCAAGCGTCGTCAAGGCGGGAGAAGCAGCGGTACGGGGTGTGGAACCTCCCACACGTCTGTCCCTTGCGGTCACCTGTGCGAATGACATAAGAACAGCGGGCACTGGCCCCCGACGTCCCACGCTGAGCAAGCCACTCACGAAGCTGCTGGGTCGTCTGGGGACGCTGCTGCTGCTGGGAGCTCTGGCCCGAGCCAGTGCCTCCACTCCGACCTCCGCCGCCACCACTACCACCGCTCCGACCGGTACCGCCACCACCGCCACCACCGCCACCGCCGCCACTGCCGCCGCCGCCACTACTGCCACTGCTTCCTCCGCCGCCCCCGTCTCCACCCCCGACCCCACTCCCACCAGCGCTCCCGCCACCGCTCCCTCCAGCACCGCCTCCCCCCCCACCTCCCCCACCTCCTCCCCCAGCGCCACCACCACCACCCTTGCCCCCCTTGCCCTTGCCGGTGCGGCGCCTCCCACCAGGAGCAGAAGCAGCGCCAACAGACTCAGCACCAAGGAAGTCAACAGCAGCAGCAGCAGCGTAGGAGGGAGCGAGGGGAGAGGGAGAACACCCCTCAAAGATGGGGGTGCGAGGAGCGCCACGAGCAGCACCGACAGCTACAATGCTCTTTTCGGCCGCGAGCAGGTGCTCCTCTAGGAGGGCGACTGTGAGCTCAGTGGGACAGCGAGCAAGGAAGTGGTCTCGAACTGAGCGGAGGGTGTCAGGGAGACGAGTGACTATAAAGTGGAGTGTCCAGTACAGTGGAGGGGGGTTCTTAGCGCAGAACTCGGTGGGAAGGGCGGCACGCAGGCGAGCATCACTAGTGCGCAGGTGGGTGATAAGATCGGCGACTGTAGTAAAGGTGGACAGATCGGGGAACAGGTACGGCAGCATGAGGCGGCTAAGCTCGGCTGTGGCAGGCGAGGAGTAGCGAGCGACGACAGCGTCGTACAGGGCCTTAGCTGATTTGCAGTCGCCAAAATGCTCTAGCTCAGCTAACGGCAGGTGACTGCGAATGGCTAGGCGAGCAGCTGCGTCACGAGTCTGCCAGTGGGAACGAACACTAAGCTCAGCTGTGGCAGGAGGGGCAGGCGCAGCACCAGACGCGTAGTCATAGAGCGACACATGCTCCTTGCTATCGCTCAGGAGGAACAGCTGCAGGTCATCTAGCCAAGCGGTGAAACGCACAGGGCGGCCCTCAGCATCGAACGACAGCACGCGAATGGAAGCCATAGCGACAGTGTGACAGAGTAACGCAAGCTGCCGCAGCAGGGGAAGGCGACTGTGCACGGATAGAGAGCAGCGGGCGAGGCTGGCGCTACGGGCAGGCGGCGCTGCAAGCGGTCAGTGCGACGGGAGGGCGACGCTGCGAGCGGGCAGCGCGGCGGACGGGCCGGGAAGCGGGCAGCGCGGCGGGCAGGCGGCGCTGCAAGCGGGCAGCACGGCGGGCGGGCGACGCTGCGAAGCGGGCAGCGGGCGGGCGGGCTGCGAAGTGGGCGGGCCGCGAAGCGGGCAGCGGGGCGAGCGGGCTGCGAGGCGGGCGGGCCGCGAAGCGGGCAGCGAGCGGGCGGGCGGGCTGCGAAGTGGCGGGCCGCGAAGCGGGCAGCGAGCGAGCGGGCTGCGAAGCGGGCGGGCCGCGAAGCGGGCAGCGAGCGAGCGGGCTGCGAAGCGGGCGGGCCGCGAAGCGGGCAGCGAGCGGGCGGGCGGGCTGCGTAGTGAGCGGGCCGCGAAGCGGGCAGCGAGCGGGCGGGCTGCGTAGCGAGCGGGCCGCGAAGCGGGCAGCGAGCGAGCGGGCCGCGAAGCGGGCAGCGAGCGGGCGGGCGGGCTGCGTAGTGAGCGGGCCGCGAAGCGGGCAGCGAGCGGGCGGGCGGGCTGCGAGCGGGCGGCTCGGTGAGGGGCGCGCGAGGGCGCTAGTGAGGGGCGCGCGAGGGCGCTAGCAAGGGGCGCGCGAGGGCGCTAACGAAGGGGCGCGCGAGGGCGCTAACGAAGGGGCGCGCGAGGGCGCTAACGAGGGTGCGCGCGAGGGCGCTAACGAGGGGCGCGCGAGGGCGCTAACGTGGGCGCACGAGGGCGCTACGAGGCTAGGGCACGGGGTAGCGTGGTAACCGCATGCGAGCGGTGGTGGGCCCTAAAAAAAAACGGTCGGTAGGTCCTAGGGACCTCCTGCTCTGAATACCATTTCAGAATAGCTAGGCAAGAATGATTGAACTACATGCTCTACACCAACTTGAAGCACATACCAATTGACTGGAAACCCGAAAGAATGCCCACCGCAAAACTCTGATACTCGCCTGGTGATTTTTTTGCCAGATGGAACTAAAGCTGCTCCTCCACGTCAATGGTGCCCCCTTGCTGCATATCCGCCTCATCACATCCACCTCGTCTGCTGCCAGGTGCTTCCAGCCATCATCGCAAACAGCCACGCCGTGCTTCCGTGCCGCCACTTGTCTTGCTAGGCAGTGCACTCTGGCATGCGCGACAAACTTAAGCACCGCCAGACGTATCACCTTTTTCGGCTGAAACTTGATGTCCCGACGACTTGCGCCACACCTGGTGTAGTGTGGTGGCAATAAATGAGCTTTCCGGAAATCCCGACTTCGTGCTCCTCTGCATGAAGAGCAGGTCCTCCAGCCCCTGCCAGTTTAACTGTGGGTTCATCTCCGCCAGTCCTTTCCTCAGGAACCGCACCGCCTTTTGAATTGCCGGGCAACCAAGCAGGCAATGCTCCGGTGTCTCCTTCGATTTGCAGTGTGGACAAACCACTTTTTCCTTCAGAAAGAAGAGCCGCTCCCCCACTTGCAGATTTCTACAGTGCAACCTCAGCAGAACTTCTCGTGCCCGGGCGGGGGTGGCGAGAGATTCCCCCTGCTTGATGACCCCTTTCCACTCAATCACCCTTCCATCTTCAACCCACCTCCGTTGCTCCTTCACAGTGCTTGCCGAGCTAACCAACTCTTTCCTAATATCTTTCAGCGGCAACACCTCCCCGTCCTTGCATAGCTTGGACTGCATGAACTTTGTTCGCGCCTCGCCCATCGGTCCCAGCGCCTTGTCGCCCATAGCCGCTATTGGCTCCCCGCTGTGCAGCCCGAAATAAACCAAATACTTCCCGCTTCCAACTGTGAAAGTACCATCCACGCCTTCCTGACACATCACCCCCGTCACCCTGCCGTTGTCCGTGCCGCTGACTTTCCAGAGCGTAGGGCGTGATACGACACTCCTCTGATACCGCAGCAGAGGGACTTTAGCCGCAATCTCCTCGTTTGTCAAGGTTTCCAGCAGCATCTCTCTCCACCTGGCCGGCGCCTCCCCGAAAGCCTTCAGAGCCAGCTTCGCCGCCTCTACACTGCCGAGCTCGCTTGCCAGGGTGACCTCGTCCTTCAACTCCCGCGAGCCATCTGCCCGTCGCCAGATCAAATCACCCATCATCAGTCCCAGTAAACGTGCCGAGCCTTTCTGGTTCCCGAATGGGCTGGCTCCCTGAAAAGGTATGCATATGTTAAACGCAAGCTGCTCTCGTTCCACCTCCCAACAATTCCCTGGTTCCGGAGTGACGCAAAAGGGCGATTTCCAGAATGCTTGTATCATGTCCTTCCACCGCTTACTGCCCTCCGTCCAGTGCTTTAGCAGGGATTGGTGGGCGTAAAGCGTATCCGGGCCCAGAGGCATCGCCGCCGCCTACTCCGTCAGCCACTTCTTGATCAAATTTGCCTGCAGCATCATACGCCCGACGTTCTGCACCGCTATGCTGTCAAATCGTTTCTTGGGGCAGATCATCCCCAGCCCCCCCTCCTCCCTTGGTGTGCAGATTAGCTCGTAATTCCAGAGAATGAAGGCCTTCTCATCCATCGCCTCGCCCCCCGACACGAAATTGTGGCATATCCTCTTGATTTTCGTCCATATCTCCTCTGGCGGCGGGTAAATATAAGCTTGAAACATGAAGATGGGCGAGATGTACCTGTTGATTATCGTGACTCTCGCCGACGTTGTTAGGTGCTGAATCTCCCACTTGGCTAACTCTTTTCCCAGGACGGGAGTGGGTCACCGTTCGCAGTGATCCAGACACCCAACAACCTCTCCGGTGCATTCTCGTCAGCCCATTCGTATTGCAGGCCCGCTGGCGGGAGTTTCACTCTGTTCTTCCCGAGCGGAAAGACCACCGTCTTATCCTTGTTTACTTTCAGCCCCGATGCCTCCCCGAAATTTTCCAACGCCTCAGCTGCGGCTGCCAGCTGCTCTTCCCCGTGCAGCAGAAGCGATGTGTCGTCAGCGTATCCCAGATACGCCAGCCTTTCCGCCCCTCCGTCGCCGATTCCCAGCCTCCGCTGTGCAAACTCCTGGCAGAGCGGCTCCACCGCACATAAAAAAAGGTACGGCGCCAGCGGGCAGCCTTGCCGCACTCCCCTCTCCACCGCAACTCTGTCGCCTGTCCACCCGTTGATGTGCAGCCTCGTTCCTGCTCCTGTGTGCAGGCCTTCCGCCCAAGACACAAAGTTCTCCGGAACTCCCATCCCTCGTAACGTGCGGAAGAGGAAGGGCCTCGAGATGGAGTCGAAGGCCTTCTGGAAATCGACCATAAGAAAGAACCAATCCTTTCCGCCGCTGGCCCCAGCCTCGATCGCATCCGCTACCACCGCGACAGCGTCCGCCAGTTTTCGACCAGGTAAAAACCCCACCTGTACTCCGAGATCACCTCGTGTAGGACCTTTTTCAGCCTTGTCGCCATAACTTTTGCCAGCACCTTGTAGACCGTGCTTAGCAGCGTGATTGTCCTGTAATTAACTAACTCCTCCTTGCCCCCCTTCTTATGCAACAGGATCGTGACCGCGGTTGAGATTTCACGGGGAAGCTCCGCCGTTCGCGTGAAATCGCCAACGAACTTCATCAGCACTGGGCCAAGCAGGTCCCAGTTGTGCTCAAACAGCTCCTTGGGAAGGCCATCCTGCTCGGGAGACTTCTCTGGGGCTAGCTCACGCACCGCCGCCCGAACTTCCTCCTCCGACCATGGTGCACTGAGTGCACTACGGCTAGCGTCGCAAAGCGTCCGGCTCATAACTCTCAGCTCCGTCACATTTGAGCCTGTCTCCCCGCGTCCGCCGAAAGAGTCTTTGAAAGATTCTGTCGCCGCCACAAGCACCTCCCTCGCACCCGAGTGAGTTTTCCCCTTGAAATGAACCGCTGACATTTCTGTCTTGGCCTTACGCACTTTCACCTTCCCGGAAAGGAAACCGGTTGTCGTCTCCCCATCCAGCTCTGCTTTCACCCCGAGCCACTCCTGCAGGTTCTCTTGGTGGCTTTTTTCATATGCGTCGAGCAGCTCCTCTTTCTTGAGCAGGATTCTACCCGTTCGCTTACAGTTCGGGTTTTGCGACAGCCGCTGTCTGAAGATCTTCACCTCCTTCTGCAGGTGCCTTTTTGTCGCCCCGACCTCTTCTTTTCCTCCCGTGTGTACGCTCGTAGGCACGCTGTCAGCCTGGGCAGCACTTCGCCGAGGTCCCCACCTGCATCCTTGAGCACCCGCTCCACCCGATTTCCGACCCCTCTTTTTTTTGCCTGTGTAGCCCTTAACCGCCAGATGTCGGGGCCCCTATCGATCGCCGCCGACGACTCCAGCGCAATCACCACCGCACTCCAGTGGTCCGTCATCTTGTTCGTGATGTCTACGTGCCGCACCTCCACCAGTTTGCACAGCAGCGGCTGTGTCACCGGCGCGCGGTCAATTCTGGTGATCACCCCCCTTTGACCTCATGTGGAAAGTGTACTCCCTCTTCCCAGGATGCGTAAAACGGAAAGCGTCAGTGAGCGGGGTGTTCGCCCTGTACCCCATCAACTTCCTGTTCTCCGCCGACGACCCCACTCCTGTTGACTTGTCCAGTGCTGGGTCCTCTACTACATTCAGGTCACCCATCACCAGGACATTCGGCAACTTCGGTAAGGTGACCAGGAAAGGCTCCAGACAATCCCTGTAAAAGGGAGCCCCGTTCTCCGGTTGTGCCGGTAAGTATATCGCAATCAGGAGCAGCTCCAGGTCCCCCCAACGGATCACCACCCCCGCCAGCCTTCCTGATGCATGTGTGTACGTGTTTGTGAAAACCATCCCAGGCACAAAGCTCAGCACCGCCACCCCTCCTACCGACCCAGTTGGCCCCACAGCCAACACCGCGGATGGCTTTAATTGAGTGCAGAAGTTGTGATCCGCCTGTATTCGCGTATCTGCAAGTATCGCAATGTCCGCCTTGTTCCTTAGCCAGTCTTTACATTTGGTCTGCTTCCCCGCGCTGCCGAGCCCATTGGTGTTAAGCTCGCAGAAAACGATTGAGTTCCTCTTATTCATTTTAAAACTGATGAGAAGCCCCCTTTGCATCCACGGGCTGAGTTCTGGTACAGGTCACTTGACACACATACGCTACTGCTACTACTGCCGTAACAAACAAAAGACAACCGTCCACTCTCCCTTTGTTCTCCTGCAGATGCGCGACTCCAGAGTAGTACACCGCACATGTCCAACCAGGCAGCTACTTGGCGAAATCCTTCCGGAGCGTGGCGAGGTTGAGGGAACCCTTGCTGGCACGGGTAGCTGCTCCCGGCTTCGCCAGGTTCGTCTTGTGACGGAGCGACGCGACATGAGCCGATGCCTGCTCGAAGCTGGTGCCTTGCGCTTTGTCGCAAGCAGCAACCACGCACACCCAGTCTTCCCGCGACCCCCCTGTGGAGGTGAGAACTATGGCCGGGTCCTTGAGAATGTCTTTCGTAAGCGCTGTGACTTTCAACGATGTAGCTGCGCGGAGGGGTTCGAGCTGGGGTGTCAGTAAAAACCGGAAGAAAAGATTGGAACGACAAAGGCAAGAAGAGCGAGACACTGATACCGTTGATCCCATGAACCTTCCTGACGGACAAGGTCCATTTGCCGGTGCTGGGCTGGCGCTCTGTGACATAGGCGTTGTGATACTGCGTCATATGCTGCCCCTTGCAGTAAGCACAGGTGAGTGCGGGGTAGTGCACCAACAGCTTCTTCCCGGGATTGGACAAATCCGTAACCGCATGACGCCATGGATCTTCATCAATTTCGTGCTCGATCACCAGGCCCCGCACCTTGTCAGTGTCGATTCCAGTGACAGGGTCTTGCACTCTATGGAAACCCACGCCTTTGCTGAAAGCGGCTTTCCCTTTCTTGAGCAGCATCTTGCGGATCAGCTCTGGAGAAACACCAGCCGGAACAGACTTCAACAGCACTTCTACCGCTTCCGGGTTCAGCTGACGCTCACGCCTGTAAGACGCATTCTCCGGATGCTGCCAGTCAAGCGTTAGAGTAACACCATTTCCCACATAATGCTCAATCGACCGCATCCAAAGAAAATCAGCATCACTTGCGTGCTGAAATGTAACCCGAAGCCTGCCGAACCTCTTCTTAGACAACCATGTCGGCAACAATTCATAATATTTTGTCGTCGTCTGAGCGTCAGCCGTCAGTGAGGCCTTCCAGTGATCCAGGAGCGCAATGACCGTCGGCTTAAGCTTCGGAACTTCGCTTTCCCACTTGATAGGAATCAGGAGCGTGATCGGGAAGCTAACATGCGTTGCGAGGAGACTGACCGCAGCCGGGTCGAAGTCATCGTCGTCATCAATGTCCCAGCATTCGTCCTCATCCACGTACTTGCTGCATCCCGCTGCCTCCGTCACAGGTGCCGGCTGACGATCAGACAACTCAGCGACAAATGGGCCCGGCTGCTGATGCTGAGACTCATTCCCTTCTTCGTTGTCCATAAGCCCGTTGTCCTTCAGAGCAGACAGCCGATCCTGCAAGGAGATCTTCGCCACGTCTCCCAGCACATCGACCGCCGTCTTGGGGAGAGCTTGAGGGGAGGTTTGTGCCGACATCAGTGGACTCTTCTCAGAAGAGTGTTCCATGCTTGACAGAGGGGAATTTCCAGCGGTACCATTAACCTTCCCACCAGCCTTGCCACCACCCCGTCCAGTGCGACGTCCACCCGCCATTGTGCGATGATGAGATGAGAGGAACAAGCATGGAACAGAGCTTGATAGAAATCCTCCTCTGAGCACCAATATGTTCTAATGATTGTCACTGCCATTGTATAAATAGCTCGACACTGCTGTATGTTGTATGACGATAAGTCCAGGACTCATAGACGTTGCCGAGAAAGTAGATAACACAATCTGCACATCTGGCGGGTCAGGATCCTTTAACCAACCCCCGTGCAGCAACCAGAAACCATGGAGCCATGAAAAACCCGTGGAGCCAGCTGATTTGCCTTGAACCTTGGTAGCTCTAGCGACTAGGTAAGATTCACCAATGTTCACTGTATGAACACAAAAGCGGTATCCTCTTAAAGCGCTAGCCAAGTTGAGCTGTTTGGTCCATGAAAAAGTGCCATCAGGCTGGAAATCGATTGACATTGGGCCTGCCGAAGTCAGAACGGAAGCCATGGCTGTGCTGAATGTTCTAAATGAGTCCCTTCGAACTAGTGATTTGAGGTTGGGTGGGTGCCTGCCTTGCGATCGGTGTGGGGGCTTGGGGAAGGAGAGTGTAGTCACTCGCCTGGTGATATTCACCGGCGAAAGAAATTGTATTTCTTCTCGCGTGTGCGTTTTGCGACAATCACGATGTAACGTTCTGCACCGCACTGAAACGTTCTTAGTATTAATTTATTGTTCACAACCTATCCGCGTCTCCGGACTTTTTGATGTGTATTTTTTTCTTGACCGCGAAAAAAACCAGCTATTTGCATGACATCATCGATTTTCGTGTCAGCACAGTTCATACAGTGCAGGCGTTTTGCGAAAGGGCAAGTTTTTCGCACAACCCTAGAAATAGTCACGCGCGAAAACCCCCTCTGTCGGAGGTATAGAAAGCAAGAAATTGAGCTACAAAAACTAGAAATCCGCGAACTCGCCTGGTGAAATCAGCGAAGTTTCCGCGTGTGCACGATTGTTGGGCCAAATATGAGTGCGCGAAGTCCTTATTTCGTGCCGTCATCCTGACGCAGTTTGCGCGTGGAGGTTTAAATATGACTCTCGTTTATGTAAATCGCACTGCTCGCACGAAGGTAAATATAAGTATTACAGCAACAAATTAGGGTAAAACGGGGCTCGTTTTACGCAGGGCAGCTACAAAATCCACGATGTCACATGGGACATTTCCGCAGTTCCGCGTGTCCACAAGTTTTGGTGGCATACAAGAGTGGGAAATGTCCAGAAACTTAGCGCGAAAAATCCACACAAGTGTGAGTCAGCGCAGTGGATACAGTACAATTCGTTCAGCTGAAATCCCGCCATGCACCCGCGCGAAAATACGTTTCCGCGAATACCGGGGCTAACACCCAGCAATGTTGTCTGGTTTTGGTGGATGGGTGCAGGTTTGTTACAACCCGAAACAGTGGGGCTAAGGAAAAAATCTCGCGAGTGAATGCAAGCCCATTGAATTTTCGTGGGAAGAAGGCGCGGCACCGTTGTTGACAAGCGGGGCGGAAAGAGATTTTCAAGAACACAATTTGTTCGCGCTTACACCCTGTGAAGTCGGTTCGGAGTGGAATTCTGAGAGAGGGGGGCGATTTTTATGAGATGCTGCCTCACTTTTCGTTATGATTTTAGAATAATCATTTTCATCCTTATCTGTAATAGGGACCTCACATGGCCAATCACTGGTGTTTCAAGCCGAACGAGGGTGTGGTCCCCACTGCTGAGTCAGCGTGCTTCCCAGGAGCAGCTGATGCCTCGTGTTCCTGGCAGGGGCCGACGGGTCGGCCCTCCGAAATCACGCTAAGGGGTTGGCCGCGTGCCCCAGTGCCAGCCTGGGCCTGCTTCACGTGCCGGGGGTACGACGCCGAAGGCATCGGCTGGGTTCGGACCCTGGGCTTCGGAAGAAGGGGCCCAACTTCGGCCCGATTAGAGTGCAAAGCCCGAACTTTTGAGAGGTTTTTCACGGTAGGATACAGTTGAGAGACGTGTCGGCTAAGGTGCAAAGCGGTACACATTCGAGCTTCTACAAATTTTGCCAAAATAAACACACCATAACTTATACACAAAACCAAACGTGTGGTTGCAATCAATTTCTTTTTTTTTTTGGGTTGCGGAGCAACCTATTACAATCTATCTAGCCAGTTTTTTGGGTTGCGTAGCAACCCTATATAATCGATTCCACTTTAAGGGTATATCATTTCGAGACTTTTAAAACCGGAGGTCCAAGAGTTTCTAACTTAGTAAGCTTGATTGGGGCAAGAAACGTGACTGGCTCGCGAGCCAGGGTGGTGTCGAAATTGGTGGTATCTGGTCGCGAAGTTTGAAAAATCTCGCGAGTGTAACCAGAACTGGAATGCAACGTTTGAGCTAATTCGCTGGCTGTTTCTCGAACGGGCTTCAATTTTGTTTGCGAAATCGTCACTGCTATCGTCCTCGCTGGTACAGTAATTTCGTTTGGCGAAAATTGTTTCAAAGATTTGCTACGAGAGCTCGGTATCTACTGGGTCTCTCACACCCAACCAAAGTTAGGAAGGTCAAGGCAGTTTTGGGCTGTTTGGGACTCCGGTCTTAAAGCACTCTTTGGAGCACCCGCTTGAACGATTTTTTTGGCACTGTGTTCAAGAGAGTGCCTCAAATAGTGAAAAAAAAAAAAAAAAACCACTCTTGAATGAGATCCAAAAAGTGAAACCAATTACATATCATGTTGAAACAATGAATTTGTTCCGAACGTCCCAGCATCATCGATTAATACGGCGAATGGTACGATCGAACATGGCATAAACATTAATGAATATGTTAGAACTAGAAGCAGGAATGAGTTGAACTATGAGAGAATTCGGTACAAATAAAAACCCTAATGGGGTTGTACCCCATGTTGGCTACCCCACTACAGCCTACACATTATATTTTGACACACCCCCATAGGCCAAGTGGGGGAGTCCAAACAGTTATCGAGAGACAAAGCAAGCTCAAGGTGGATCACAAAGTCACCACACATTCTGAGCACAAGCAAATGGCCACAAGGCCAGCTCACATGCATAGTTATAGAAAGCAGAGCAAGCAGTACAGTGATCACAACCTAGCAGGTGTAAGCATGCAGGTAAATATCTATATATAGATCACAGTACAAACAAAGTCAAGAAGTAAGCAAGTGAGGAAACGTAGGCATCAGGCTTAGAGCAGTGCAGAAGCGCTGATGATCACCAGCCGGAAGGGCCTTGGTGAACACATCAGCTGTGTTGGCCCGGGTGGGCACGTGAGCGACACGAAGCTGACCACGCTGCTGCAACTCTCGAGCAAGGAAGTAACGCAGAGCGATGTGCTTCGTTCTGTGCTCCAGTCCGTGGACCTGACACAAGGCAATAGCAGCCTTGTTGTCTACGTACAGAACTGGAGGAGAACGAGGCCTCTCTCCCAAGTCGGTCAGCAGGTAGGTGAGCCAGCGTAACTCCTGTGCAGCCATGGCTCCGACGTAGATCTCAGCCTCACAACTGGATCTAAGAAGACGAGCGTGTAGACCTCCAAGAAACAGATCTGGAACCAAGGCTGAACGTGTAACCCTGTGACGACCGCTGCGTAGCCAGGTCGTCAACCCAAGAAGTTTCTGAGTGTCCAGTGAGGACAACTTAACCCCGCCCTCCAAGCACGAGCCCCATGCCCGATGTACTGCACAAGTAACGCAGTACCCTCTTCGCAGCTTCCCAGAGCACCTTTCGGTGTATGCCAGGAGCCACGTAGCGTGCCAGAAGGCCAAGAGGGTACGCAAGGTCAGGACAAGTGCAGGTCATCAGGTACATGAGGCAGCCCACTAGCTCTGGGTAAGGACCACTCGGCTCTACGGACTCGTCCGAAGGTGGAGCTGGGAGCGACTGACCTGTAGCCAGAGGAGTGGACTGTGGCGAGGACCAGGTGAAGGCGAAGCGCTGAAGGACCTGCTGCACCATGTGTGACTGAGTCAGTGTGATGGTGCGGCGTGCTTTGTCCCGGGTGATCTGCAAGCCAAGGTAGCTGCGCAGCTCACCCAAGTCTGTGCACGTGTGTCTCTTCTGCAGCTCCGACTTCACCAGGGCGAGAGCCTCAGTGTCAGCAGTGGCAAAGACCAAGTCGTCGACGTACACGAGGATGTAGAACGGCGACAGCGAAGTGTCGGTGCGTAGAAACAGCGACGGGTCAGCAGTGGAAGGGGCAAACCCAAGAGCCGCAAGTGTCGTCCTCACTGTGTCGTGCCACTCACGAGGCGCCTGACGGAGACCGTAGACTGGCCGGCGGAGGCTCCACTGGGTACCAGGAGGAAACGACCCATTGAAGCCAGGTGGGCGGCGCAGCCGGATCTCCTCGTGCAGACTGCCCTGTAAGAACGCTGTGCTGAAGTCAAAAGAGTGAAGCTCGTAGTCACGCTGAGCGGCAACGTGCAGCAGCACCCGAAGAGTGGTCATCTTCGGGGTGGGGGAGAAGGTCTGGAAGAAGTCAACTCCCTGTCGCTGACTGAAGCCTCGTGCAATGTAACGAGCCTTGAAGACAGGCGGAGAACCCGGCGGCCGCTTCACCCTGAAAATTCACATGCCGTCGACAATGTTTGCCCAGGAGGGGGAACCTCATCGACGTAGGTGCCTGTGGACTTCCAGGATGCCATCTCTGCGTCCATGGCTGTCTGCCACTGAGAGAAGTAGGGACCCGTAATCGCCTCAGCGTAAGAGCGCGGGGTCGGGATGTCTGGTGCATCCGGGTCTCCCTCAGGGGCAAGCAGCATGGCCACGAGATGAGGTGCAGCGGCTGCAAGACACTCAAAGTCCTCCTGCCTGTCCTCGAGGACGTCCGTGCCAAGAGTACACTCACCCCCGACGGACGGAGGACAGACAGAATCAGACTCAGCAACAAGACTAGCGGCGTAGTCGAGACGACAAGCAGCAGCAAAGTCAACAAGCTCAGCGACTAAGGCAGACGCAGCAGCAGACTCAAACGACGGGTCAGTGACAAAAGTTGCTAATAGACGCGTGACAGTAGGGTGAGCAGCACGA